TCAGCAAGTAAGCAAAGTGCAATCAATAACATACAAGGTACTTACTTAGATACACATTGCAATGCGGACCGACAGGAGCAAGTCGTCACTGAGACAGCTTGACCATGTGGGTCCAGACCCCCAAATTGCAATCCTTTTTATCCTTTAAAACCGCAAACCAGAACCATGACTCTTAGGATTTTCATAACGTTCCCAGAGCTAATTTCACCCCACTTTCCTGTTCCCTTTGTCCCTGTCACATCTGTTCTCATCAACAAGTTTGCTTATTTAACAGTTTGCTCTAGTTTTGCAAGTTTTATTTCCTGTCAGTGCCCCAAAGGTCATCTCTAAGCTAGCCCTTGCTTTTATTATTAAATGTGATTAAGCAATATATATCTATATTAAAATAAGTTTTAGGCTACTAGCATTTTTCCTCTCACAATCCTCAGGGAGAAAAATAGGGGCCATTTATCTTGCATTGTACTTAATTATTTATTTGTTGCGAAATTTGTATAGTATCCCAATCACAGGAATCTGGGTGGTTTGCAATAATGAAAAATCAGTGACCTCCCCCCCCAACACTAAAATAACCATACACTTTGCAACATCACAATATAATCCTTCCCCATAGCAAAAAACATGGCACAAGTAATGGTGTTGGGCTGCAAATGCCTGCTGGAATAGCAGTATTTTGACCATCTTCCTAAAATAATCCAATGTGGAGGCAGCCCAAACTTTGGGTGGGAAGGGGAGGATGTTCCCAAGGGCTGAGGCAGCCACCAAGAAGGATTGACCCCAAAGAAAATTAGTCCTTGGATGGACTACACAGGGCAGGAAGATTTCCTCTGAAGGAAACAGTCCCCAAGGTAACTGGAATCAGGCCCTCTAAGGCCTTATAGATTAAAACTAGCATTTTGAATTGTACTCAGAAACTGATCGGTAACCAATGCAGCATCAGCAAGACTAATGTTATTAAAGCAGTCCTCACCTGCTAGCAGCCTGGTGCATTTTGGACCAACTGTAGTTTCTGGGTAGTTTTCAAAGCATATTGTAATAATCCAACCTTAAAAGTGATGAGAATATGAGTCACTGTTAGTAAGACCTCCCACTCAAAGAAGGTCCACTACTGGTGCACCACCTGCCACTGGGCAAAAGCTTCCCAGCCATGGACTTCACCTGCTGGTCAAAAAGGAACTGTAAGTCCAGGAGAACACCCAAGTTGTGGACCTGCTCCTTCAAGGGCATGCAACCCCATGCAGATATAAAGTAATCAGGAAGCTAGATAGCTTTGTGGAGTCCTTGGGGTTCTCTGAACCAAGCTCAGAGAATCCCAAGGGCTCCACAGTTCAACCCTGAGCTACACATATTCGCTTCTGTTGGTACTAGATAGCTTTGAATGAACACTAGCACTTCTTGTGGGGATTCAATTGTTTCATCCTATCCTATCCATCACAGTTTCCAGTTGGTCTGGAATAGAAAGTACAACTGGGTATCATTAGCATATTGATATTTCACCCAAGCCAACAGAATGCTTACCATATTTTCAAAATGCAAAGCAACACAGCTGGCCTCAGTGTCTCTCTTGAGCTGGGAAAGTGTAGAGTGTCTTTCTCAAAATTTTATTCCATGGAGTGCATGAGAAAGAGGGCAGAGATTCAGCAAGCTGTGGGATGGGAAAGGCAGACTCATCTTGACCAGTCCATTTTCTGGTTAACTTAGCAATACAGGTAGTCCTTGCTTAACAACCACAATAGGGATTGGGAAATTCATTGTTAAGCGGGCAGTTGTTAAGCAAGTCATGCCGAATTTTACAACTTTTTTGCAGCAATCATTAAATGAATCACTGTGGCCATTAAGCTAATCCCATGGTTCCTTATTGGTTTTGCTTGCTGGAAGCCATCTGGGAAGGTCAAAAATGGTGATCACATGACCCAGGACACTGCAACTGTCATAAGTGCAAGCTGGTTGCCAAGCACCCAGATCACAATCACATGATCATGGGAGTGCTGCGACGGTTGTAAGTCCCTTTGTTCAGCACCACTGTAACTTCGAATGGTCACTAAATGAATGGTTGTTAAGTGAGGACTACCTGTAGCTGTAATGGCAGGGAGATGGTAATGGGAGGACAGAAAAGCAGGAAGATTAAAGGTCAGAGTGGTGATGGAATTGCCTGGGACAAGGATGTGGAAGGAAAACTTAAGAAATGTTGAGTCAGAATAATTTGGCATACCTTTTGCAGGGAATGAACTTGCATATTACTAGGAGAACCATGACTTCTATATCAAAAAACATCCAGAAGAGTATGTACCACTTAGAACACAATGGGGTTGACCGCAGGAGCAACCACATATTATGAATATGTCGTGTTTTTCTTTGTACTGCTTTTGTAGCTTCTTGATATGGTCAAATGACTAATCAATAAACAAATTCAATTAGAAGGGAAGGGAAGGGAAAGATGAGACTGGAGGGTTCCTTGGAGACTTCTAGTTGTAAAGGCTAGAATGGCATATGCAAAAATGTCACAACTTACTGGTTGATTTTGCAAACTGTTTTCCACTGTTTTTCAAGCAAGCATGTTTCTTCTCTACATCTGCCAGTGTCTTTATTGAACATCTTCTGCTATAGGATATTCCAGGAAGAGCTTCAAAATCACCAATGTAGACACATTTGTAAATGGTGAGGCAAGATACCTAAAAGGAATGTTGACAAAGCTGACTGCTAAATACATGCATGATGAGCTTTTTAAAATCTTTCTCTAAAACCATATTGGCTTTACTCATTCACAGATCTTGCTTGCTTGAAAATCATGCAGTAGGCTTTTGCTGTAAATTGCTGAAGTTTTCTCCCAGACTTTAGTGGTGCTCCTTTGGTTTTGAGGAGCTAGTTTCATGCCCAAACCACCATCTGTTTATCTGTTAGGCTATTGAAAACTGAGTTGGAGAGAACCAGGCAGGAGAAGGAGATATGCTTGAGGGAAGAGGTCCAACTGGAACTTCAAAAACTCCAAACTGAGATGCATTCTGAGATGGATGCAGAGAAGGAGAAGATCAGGTATCAGATTGCATTTAAGTCTGTGTATTGTCCTCTGCTGTGGAAGACATGGTGAAAATTGTAGGACTGGAGTCAGCCTTATGTTTAGATTAGTACTGCCTGATGTGTGCATTCTCCCTAGTCTGAAACATTTGTGAATGGGAGAATGACTGCCTCTGCTTTTTATGTCAAACAAGGGCCTTTGGAGTTATAGGTAAAATAGGATTGATTTTGCAGTTTCATCTCACTTAGGCAGCAAAATTCAATAATTATGTATTTATTTGTTTAAATTATATATATATATGAACACCCATCTCATAGCACTGTACTCTGGGCAGCATACAAAATTAAAATCAGCAATAATTACATCTACAATCCAGATAACAAATACCTGAGGTCACAGAAATCATTCCCAACTTACAGAAGAAACAATAGCAATAAAAACAATCACCCAGCAGAATTAGCTCAGTTTTCCAGTCCATATGCCTGGGGGAACATCTAGGACTTTAGTGCCTTACAAAAGGCTGTCATAGTTGGTGTCATCCAGATCTCCAGAACAATGTTGTTCCACAAGCAGGTGCTGCAACAAAGAAGGCAAGACTCCAGGATCCAGCAAGATCATACTGTTTAATGGGAGGGACCCAAAATAGGCTCTCTCTGTTAAATTTGGTGGGGCAAGCAGAAACGGTTAGAGATGGGCAGTTGGCCCTATGCTATGTAGGCCTGTATAGGTGATGTCCATACAACCTTGAATTGCACCCTGATGACTGCTAGAGAATTGAGCAAAGGAAGGTAGTATTTCCCTGATCAGCCTTCTACCATTAACTGCTAGTCCTCCTTGGTCTCTGGGCTTGCACTTTATGAACATCTTCCTCTATTACTTGATGCTGGATGTTTCTTGGAATTGGGAAATTCAGAGGCTGAGATGTGAGGGTCTCTCCTTGAAATGTTTACACTCTGTACAAATGGAAGCACTCACAGGGTCTCTTCATGCACAGGTATACTTGGTCTGATCACAGAGATCTGTGATAAAATCTCCTCCAGCTTATCATCCCTTACTGACTTCTTTTCAGGCTGGCCCAGGAAGCCACACTGAACCAGCTGAAAGAGGAGCTAGAATCCTTTCGGCAATCAGAGAGAGAAAAGCTTAAAGAGCAGAAGTTGCTTTCTCTGGAAAGAATAAAAAAAGAAGCAGAAACCACTGAGCAGGCTGAACAGATGGCACTGGAGCAGAAGAACCAGAGGGCCCTGGATGAATTGAGGGAGAAGCTGTGCAGAGAAAAGGAATTGGTGAGGAGCTCCGGGTTGCAGATTCAGTATCCCCTTTACCACCAGAGGCTGGGAAACAAGAAGAACACCTCTGGTACAAGACTGAAGCATTATCACACTGCTTGGGAGCAATGCTCAAATGGAACATGTGGACCAAGTAAAAACTGCCATATTACAGGGGTGCAGTCTCAAAGGGGAGACTCATTCTTAGAAAATGCGTATGTGAAGAAATTAATTCAGTGAACTGATAATCACGAGGTTGAAACCCTTCCAGGAAGTTTAGTGATGTTAGAAAAGCAGTGTCTTATAGTATTAGAAGGTTGGACCACGATGGAAAGATCCATGCTCAGGTGTTCACTTTGGATGGCACTCACTACGTGATACTGGGTGAGTTCTATCTAGTTCTGGTCTTACTAGCATTGAGCAAAGAATTTGGCTGTCAGTGCAAAAACCGTTTCTCATCCCTACTCGTAACCATGAAATTCTTGCCTAGTAAGGAAAATTAAGGAGATATATTCTAGTGGTAGATTAGGACGTAAGTCAGGAATAAATTTGAGGACCACTAGGCATATAGATTACTGTAAAAATGTTTATGGATATGTCAGGGATATCTGCCGATCTTCTAATTTGGAAGCTGTAAATGGTTTTAGTTACTAGGTATCGTCTTGATTCTTTGGCAGGCCATGCAGGAACTACAGGCGCAGTTTGCAGCAGAGATCCAGCAACAGAAAAGTGCAACAATAGAAGAACACCAGAAGGTAATACATATATATCAGAAGGGAAGGAGCAAGATATGTCCTTTTTTTGCAGCTGCAGTGGATTCTCCAATTCTCATCCCAGTTTCAGAAGCTGAGCAGATGCTTCCTTTTCCTTCATGCTGCTTCTTCAGTCTCACAGAGAGGCCCGTGCAGAACCTCATTTGTGAATTTTCTAAACCTGTAGAAAAGTTTTGGAGGCCCTTTGTGCCTCCTGCCCAGGTGGAAAAGAGAGGCCACTGCTGTCCCTCATATTTTCCTTATTTGATGATCTGGCTCTTTTAGTTTCATTTTGCCTATTTTGCTATTTCCTGAGGTGCTGATAACTGTGTAAATCTTTCTCTTTTTCCCCCTTTAATTTCTACACTTAAGCAGCCATCCCCTGTGTCTCTTATGCCTGGCTGGTATTAGTGCTGTCTGTCAGGAGTTGTGTGGGGTTCTCAGGATCAAACAGGCAAAACATAGAATGCAATGACATTCTTGTCAAGCAGATCAGTTTTTTCTTTTATTCCTAATATTTCAAGATATAAAAGTATGGATTTCTCTGGGTTTGGCTTTTACAGCCACAAACTGCAAGCAGCATTCAGCTAAAGCAGATAAACAAATCTCTCCTCCCTCTTACACTTTCCAGCAAAGAAGGTTGGTATGCTTTCAACTGATTTATTGCCATTCCAAGTTAGCTATCTCCCTGGCCACAATAATAAACCTTCTGTTTACTATTTCAGTATCTGTGCCTCTTCTGAAAGGTAGTTGGGCATGCAGCTATAACTACGTTTCCCTTAGAATTATCAAGGGCTTCAGATGACACCTAACTGCAATCTTTCACAGCCACTAGAATGTTGATCATCGTGTTGTTTCTTCAGATCCTATTCTCCTTCTGATTTTTGCACCAGATAGACATGATCCCTTGAACCATCATCTTCTCTGCACACAATGGCCCCAGTGATCTTTCATCACCTAGTAAGCTGTCATTTTTTCAGCAGTCAAGATTGCCTAAGTCTAACATTGCTTGTTAACCATCTTCTTTTCTCCTTTCTGGTAGCTTCCTCCCCACTTGCCATGAGAGATTTTGTGTATATGAAAAGCTAATCTGTTTCTCTATCAGCCACTTTCCTGGACAGAGTTTATCACCTCTAAGCATGGCCCGTATGGAAATCATGCAATAGGATGGCAGTCATTGTTTACCTGCTCCATTCTGCCACACTGCTGCTATTACACTTTCAGATAGGACTTCAGGATTTGTACGTTTCCTTTGAGAGGAGGCTCTGAGGTTGTAGATTCCAGTTCCCCCATATTGGTACTGAAGGCAATTAACTAAACCATAGAATAAAAAAAAATTAAAGCATGTTAAAAACACCTCCACAAGCAAGAACTTTACTCAATTTATGAAATGGGTCCTAGTGCACCAGCTGAAAAAGATTTCTGTGGTAGATCAAGGACTGTTTAAGTCAGTCTCAGGTGTTAGCATCAGTCCAGCAAGTGAATCAGCTGGGTGGACCAACAGTAACTTCACCTCAGCTCCCATCCCTGTGAGTGAGAGGTTTGACTCATGATGCCTGTTAATAGTCCTTTCGGTTGGGAATATAATTTCTGCTGAAAGATGTGTCATTTGGTCTCTTGACCATGGGATTTTCAGCCTCATTCGGAAGATTTCATGGATTGTTGCTGTTTCTTCTACCACACTGTAGCCTTGATACTGATCCCCAGGAATGACTCATGTACTCCCTGTTTATCATTACATCTCTACTGTCACAAATATGAGGCTGAATATCCCATTCCCTTCCCCATCTGATTATGAGCACTCTTATTCTCAGTTAGATTCTCGATAGTTCACACAATCCTGGAATGATAATCAGGATTTACCCTTCTGTGTTGTGTGGTTATCAGTATTGAAGCATGTCGTCACTGCTACAATATCATCCACTACACCCAAACCTCCTCTGTTACTATCAAGACCGCAGTTCTTTTCCTATCACCTTGCTGAGTTCAACAGTGGATTCCCCACTCTTTTGCTCCTGTCCATGGGCTTGATGTTGATACCAATTGTTCCAACAGGTCAAAATAGTACTTTATATCCCTTGAAATTCTTAAAGCTATATCCTTCTCTTCTACAACCTCAGCGATGTTGCCTTCTACCTTTGGTTTCCACATTCTTCATGTTAACCTTGTGGTTGTTTGTTCTCCTAAATCATCAAAGGTGATTCCTGTATCTGTAGGCCTATCTGCAATCTTCATGCTATTTTTCCAGAATGAAAACTTTTCTGTCATGTTTGGAATCATGAGCTTATTCCCTCCATTTAATTTCCTAATGCTAACCTTCTTGGGAAGATGAACTTCCTATAGCACCTTATACAATTCTGGTGCATTATACTCAGAGCAGAGGACGCAGTGGCGCAGCGGCTTAATGACGCTGAAAGTTGCCGGCCAGAAATGGTCAACACTTCAGCAGTTCAATCCCAGCTTTCGCGCAGCAG